TCGTACCTAACTATGTCGTGTAATGTATGCGTACCGTCGAACACACTGCGTTGCTATCATTATAGGCATTGTAAAAAACAAAACCGAAGGAAACAATTATTGTACGTCGCAACTGCAACGGGGTGACACGGCTGTGATTGTGGAAATATCTTGGCGAAGGGGACGTGCGTGCGGCGAAATGAGAGGGGAACACTTCCATGCAATACTCTACTGCAATGTTATACGGAATGTACTAGCGAGCGGCTTGGGGTACGGAACTGTACGCAACAGCGTTAAAAACAACCAGATTGGACAGCTCGGGGCGTTTGGTAATAGTCCACTAGATAATAACAACATCATATGGACGCAATGATTTCCTATACTCTGGCCCCTTTCTGTCGGGTCCTCTCCCGTGACGCGGTTCCGCGCGACAGCCGTCCCCCGTAACCCCTTCGCCGAGAACACCCCACTAATTATTTACACGGGATGCCATTGGCCTAGTAGATAACGCAGGTTCTGAACGCACACACCGTTACATTTATGAAAAAAACCGGAATGACTACCGGCGTGTGTAAAAACAATACTCGCCAAAGAAAATAGATTAAAAAACGTACTCGGATCGGGTCGTCGAGACCGATACGATTAGGTGTGAAAACGACGATTACACAGCGGCCCGTCCGCACCACGATGATCGCGTGTCCGTGGCCAAGTCGGTTTATCACAACTAATCTAATCTCGTATTAGAGTATTAAATAATTTCTAGATAAACTGCCGTTGGACGCGCGCAGAGCAGATCGTCGAGCTTAAATCATTTGCGGAAGATTTATATTGACGACCGGTATTTGTTGTTGGTAAAAAATCCGTTCAGTTGTACAACTGCCGTGTGAATATATCAGCAGCACTGGCGGTCGTCGAGCGCGTCCGGACGATACCCACGGCCAGCGCGGACAGAGAAGAGTTATCGTTGTCGCGCTAATAACATCTATTTATTATAATAATATTAATAATAATAATAATAACATGAAGACATAACTGTCATCGGGACTAGGGGACGTTGCGCGAAACCAGATGCGGTCGAGGTGTGCGCGGCGGGCGGAGGTGACGACCGCTCATAACCGGTCCAATGACATTATATGTGTTTGTTTTTTTCAGTCTTTCCATCTCCCAATGTCATGTTGTTTAATACTTATACAATCTATACGTCGCACATAATATGATTTTTTGTTACTATTTTGTTTTCTATACTACCGGCGAACGTTTAACGGACGGGCATTTTTTTTTTTTTATCGGAAATCGATTCCTTCGGAACGTTTACGCCTCCAGGCTATGGGACGTGTACGTCTTGCACAACTCGAATGTCGAGATTCCTTACTTTATTATTTTTTTTTTTTTTTTTTTTTTAATCGCTTTTGCTAATCGAGTAATTATTTTTCAACCTTAAAACGGTAGTGCTCCGGCCTATAAAGAAACAGTTCAACGGGTACGCGCAGAGAACAGGCAATGAAAGTGGCTCGGTCGATCGAACGCGTTTTATTAGCTTCGCTGCAGTCACGTAAACCATCTCCGCAATTAACGGTCCACGGCCTTGATGGACACGTTTTTAATTTATCGTGTCCCACACCCTCCGCACGCGTACACGGCGCGTCCGTCCGAGTTAATTGCTCTGATTTTCGCCATTACGAAACAATGACATATTAACTATATTGTCATTAATGGTTTGTTACGAGTTCATTCGTAGCACACACAAGACGGCGGAGCATTACTCTCCGTTGTGGCAATGCCCCGTCGCAAGGAACACCCGAGGCCGGAAACTATTCATCTCCAAGACATAGAGAATTGCCACAGAACTTTGTAAACGTTTTTTGCGCCGAGTTGGCAACGATTCGCTTGTACGGCGGGACACGATTTTCTTGACCCACGCGCTGGTCAGCGTGTGTTAATAGAATGAAAAAAAAAATACACACACACACAACAGCATTAATAATAATTATTATAATAGTACGTGTACGTTTTACACGAGTGACGACGGTAGAAATTTCATTTTCAGAAAATTCCGAGGTGCGTTCGAAATTTATGGACTGGATGTCCTAACAATATTCGATAGAATAAATCACTGCGCCACACGGTCCGCTGTGTACATTGTACGCATACATTATCACGCGCTATGAACGACTAGATGAAAAAACGGTATTAATTTGTTCAATATAAATTCATCTGTGGATTCGCGCGTAGGAGTAGTTTGTGGAAATTTACTAACGTGCAACTACCATTGCATACGAACTACACAGTGTTAAATTATTGGCTATAAATAAAATCGCCGTATAAATATCATTGAAGGTAATGTGCAATTTAAAAACAAAATACAATTCTCGACCGAGCGACGGAGAAAAATATGTTAGCGCTAATGTACAACAGACCGCATTAATTTTTTATCGCGCCTACATACACATTTGTTTAATCAAACCGGTGACTATGGACGATTTTAATTGTCGCCGGTCCTGTTCGGCGGCGTTTTAATATTTCATTTTCTATTACGAGCACGGACGAGGTTGGGTTACGCGGCGTCCGCTACGACGGTCACCGGCCGTGCCGATGAATTATGATGACAATTACCGACAGATATTCCTTGGGTGGCCCCAAAGGGGTACACGGCCGGTATGCGCCGTATCATCATTACTATAATATATATATTTTTAATTGAACCCATTCGTCTGGTGTTCGGATTACACGCGGCAACCGTTTTTGTCCGGCCGGCGTTTCCTCCTTGAAGAGTCTGCCCGGGAGAGCCGATATGTGGTTTTTCGAAGAGCGCACGCAGCGCTTGTGTCCCGGAGTGTAAATACTCGGCAGAGTTATTGTCCGGCGGCGAGTATGCGCCAAAACGTTGTAAATCGAGCCGACCACTGTCACGACCACGCCAATGGAGTCGTGGTCACCATTGCCGTGTAGTCATGACAGTCCGACGAGGGCTCTCACGTGGTACCGATTTTTCGCGCGTTGTAGAAATACGAGTAAGCGGTACACGCCGACGACGGGAAAACCCATGCTGGGCGACCGCAGGTTGTTATTAACGGGCGCGCGCACTTGTTGTACCGCTTCACCCCGTGGACGCCGCCACATACCGCGCGTACTGGTAAACCCAACACTACACGAGAACGCTCGTTGCCCAGTGGATCTAATATCACAGTGATTTAACGAGTGAAACACGCTGATCGAGTCACGTTTTGCGTCAAGTCCGAAAGTACATAAACAGACCGGAGTGAGCTCAGTCCTTCGCGGAGTTTGACGAAGTGAAAAACACTTTTTGGACCGGAGGCTGTGTGTGCGACGGGGCCTACACACGTACGACGCGAATAAAAAAATTCCAGTCACGACGACACTTACAGGACCGTGATTCCTCTCCGCTGGAAACGAACGGTGTCCCGGCAGTACGTAAATCGTGAAGCGTCGTCCGAGTGCGAGACGTTCTCGCGGCGTACACGTTTTATAAAATTCCGCCGTCGCCTCGGCCATCAGATATTTTTGAAAAACGTCCATCGGACGGACGTCGTGTGCGGACAGGGAACGCGGTCTGACGGCGGCAAACCGCCTATGGACGGTTTGCGTGTACGGGACAAATATATATATTTTTCATAAGGCGTTGTCGGTGTGCGGTCACCGATCAATTACCGTCGTTCCAGAACCCGTAACCAACATTTAATGAGCTTGTACACACTACGCGCGGTGGCAACGGAGGCGCGAAAAGTCGCGTAGTGATTTATGAGTTGTGCGATAACGTCGTTCGGCGAGGCGCTTGCCAGTTGCAATGCAACACGCCTCCTCGCCCCCAGTGGTCGAACGTAATGTGCAGTGCGCTACACCGATCGGAAAACCGCAGCGGCCGCCATGCGGAGACGATCTACAAACGTACCGATTAGTAAGTACAATGATACAACGGTACCGGCGATGATTTACCGGCGTGGGTGTTTCGGTAGTCGCATGAGCCATTGTCTCCCGGACGTTTCAATGCGGCAGGCCGGTTGTACGCCGATAAGCAACGCATTGTAAACGACAACGAGACATTAATGCCCAGCGCGTCTGCGGCTCGTTCCATTAACATTCCGAGTACACACAAAGCGTCAACACGCGCCGCTCGTAAGTTACTCTCTGTGAATGATCTTCGGCTTGTGATGTTTCAACGATGATTTATGTAAAAACGGCAGCGTGAATCGCGCCACTTGTCCGTATAGTATTTCTGTACAGCAATCTAATGTGTGCCATACACCATCGATGATCAAGCGGGTCTTCGCATATTGGCGCGAGGAGCTAGGGAACTTTTGACGGTTCGTTGTACGCGTGTCTGTTTGTGGGCCACCAGCGAGACGTTTAAAGCTTTTGGAACGATTTTTATTTTATTTTTTCGACTTGAACAAATTACTATTTACGCGGCCGTTTCACTTTTACCTTTCACGACGCTTGTCGTCAACTGCGAACGGCTTGTGATAAATTTAACCGTCACTTCAGTTGATTTAAACCATAATTTATGAACGATGAAAATGAAATAAAAAAAACACAACTCCACTAACGCCCATGTGGAACGAACGAATTTAGACGACAAAAACGATGATCACGGCAAACACTGTACAATTCATTTAATTATGTTAATATATTACGCGTGAACGTTATTTACATACAATTCGACCGGTCGTGTACTCCGTTCGGTTTACTGCGTTATCAATACCGTATTATTTATTTATCGGATAAATACACATTTCTGTTGGCCATGTTGCCCTGGCGAATCTAGCAATCTAACAAACTGGTTTCTTTCATAACGATTCGTGCGCTCACCGTTACTGCGCGCCTATCGTGTGTACCTACTGATTACTCGTCAGCGATGATAGAGTTCGATATGAAAGGTCCTACGTTTTTCAGTTGGCTGATATTTCATTATTCAGTAAAAATTAATTAACGACCGATCGGCATTCCGCACACGAGTAGAACGGCTGCGGAAAAAAACGTTCATATAAAATCGATACGCTTACCTTGAGAACACAAGAGCCCGGAGTTCGATCTTCGGACACTTCGACGTTGTAGAAGCTCTGGTCGAAAATGGGTTCGTTGTCGTTGAGGTCGTGTACCGTGACATGAACTGTTGTCGTGCCGGTCAGTTGCGGTCGCCCGTTGTCGACGGCCAGCACCGCGAAGGTGGGCTCGGCATCTCTCTCGCAGTCCATGTGCGCCCGAGTAGTAATCAGACCGGTGGTCGAGTCTATCTGAAACCATTGGGGCGTAGGCTCGCGCATTTTGTACGCCAGTCGAGCGTTGTCGCCTTCGTCTTTGTCAACGGCTACCACCCGTAGCACCGAGGTGCCCGGCTCGACCGATTCTGAAACGCTCGCCCAGTACTCGGCGTTGGCAAACTCCGGTCGGTTGTCGTTTACGTCCGTCACCAACAAGTTGAACGTTTTGGACGCGTGTAGGGGCGGACTGCCCGTATCCGCTGCCACGAGGTTCAGGGTGTAGTTCGACCGAGTCTCCCTGTCCAAGGGCAGGGCCACTACGACCAAGTAGATGATTTTATCCTGGGTGGTCAGGCCAAAGTGGCCGTCTCCGCCGTGAAGGGTCACGTTTGCGTTGGAGTATTCCTCTTTGGAGTCGGGATCGTCCACCGAAATACGGGCCACGAACTCGCCAGGCTGCGCCCGTTCAGAGATCTTGGGCGTCGCGTCGTCGCTGAGGAAAATCACGTTGATATCCGGTTGGTTGTCGTTAACGTCGGTCACGCGCACCGTCACGAACGCCGTCGTCTCCAACGGTTGATCCGCCCGGTCCTTGGCCACCACCACGAGTTCGTGCACTTCCTTAGATTCGTAGTCCAAGGGCCTGTTCAATGAAATTACTCCGGTGCGTTTGTCGATGGCGAAATAACCTTCCTTGTCGCTCTGGCGTCTGTTAATGGAATATTCGACTACGCCGTTTTCGCCGTCGTCCACGTCGGCGGCGAACACTTGCAGGATGCTCGTGGACACTGTTGCGTTTTCCAACACCGCACTGTAATATCGGCTCTGGTTGAACATCGGCTGGTTGTCATTCACGTCCAGTATGGTCACGTTGACCGTCATGGAGCCTTTGTGCGGCGGGACACCGCCGTCATAAGCTTCGATGACCAATTCGTATGCGGGCGTGGTTTCCCTGTCCAAATAGCCGTTAATCTGCAAGTCCAGGTACAGGACGCCGTCTTTTTCGCGATGGAACGAAAGCCTAAACGCGTTGTTTACGTTTCCGGACACGATTGCGTACCTCTGTGTGTTATACGGACCGAGGTCCAGGTCTCTAGCTGGGCTTAGTGTACGTTTTACGTCTCTCGGCGTGTTTTCCGGAAAATCCACTTGCATTACACGACTGGGGAACGTCGGCGAATTGTCGTTTTCGTCGACCACTCGCACGACCACCCGAATATTATCTCCACTGAGCGGTATGGCCACTAAGGTATACGATGACCGCGTTTCCCTGTCCAACGGAACTCTGGTCTTGATCTCTCCAGTGTTCTGGTCCGTTATTAAATCCGTATCGACCGCACTGCCCGGCACCGGCACGATAAGGTACGGCGGTCCGCTGTCCTTGGAACCATCGCCAATAAAGCCGATCCTGGTGCCGACCGGCGCTGACTCGGACACGTCCAGGTGCCGTTCGTGCTCGCCGGCCACGGCTGCGGCCACAGCCAACAGCCAACACCATCGCATTATTCCCATTATCACCGCATTTTTAATATCCTGAAAAAAAAAATAAATGTATTGTTTAGTGGGAAGTGTATTTACACTAACAATGAACACATAAATAAATGTATTAACAATTTATTGAGCATAAATCCGTGCGCCATAGAATTAACATAGCATAAATATTTTATACATAAAAGTAAGCCATAAATGAACCGCCAAAATAGAATAATCATTGGAAAATCACTAATAGTATAACGTAAGCATTGACTAATGAACGCTATAGAAGTTATTTCAAATTCGATGTTTAGAATAGATAAAAAAGGCTATCCAATTTTGATTGTAAATTACATCAACAGTTCAACGAGATTAGCAGCAACAAAGGAAACGAACGACTCGGTAATGTTCGCATCAGCCGACGATGGTCACACGGGAAAACGTATTAACTGAATATAGTCGAATAGAATAAATGGGACTGTTCATTTTGAAGGTTATAGTAGATTATGTTCTTAATATTGAAATGAAAAACTACAAGAGAAACGACGTATACGGGGAACACGAAGTCAAAACACAATCTCAGAAGTATGACGACTATTAGAGATAAAAGTTCTTGAAAGAGATAAGATTAGACGGTACGTGGAATGCATTCACAATAGGTAACGAAGATCGCTTTCAAATTGAAAACTTCACACTTGTCACCACAGCTGCTGCTGAGCCACACATAATATAATATTGTTATCGCGGTCATCATCTTATGTTATTCATTTCGACTGTCTACAATTGTTATGCCTCTAGTTTACATTATTCTACTGGACACTCTAAGCCTAACGGGTATTCATAAGGTTACGCCGCCGTTTGTGTATCATATGACTCGAGATAAGTGTAACGAAATTTCGTTGCTTTTCGGTGTAAATTATATTTTCGCCGGTTTTTTGGCCATGGAATGAAAATGAAAAAAAAAAAAACACTAACCGGTTGCGCAAGTCTCGCAAGACTGTTTACCAAAAGTGTGATCGTATGAATAACTCAATTGTATACGTATAGTGTGTAGACGCATAAAAATACTACATAAGTTTTTCCGCCCATTTTTAAAATCGCGCACCGTAATCATCAAGTTGTAGTACACCAATGAAGAATATTATTACCGACAGAGTGCAAGTGATCATAGAGCAATAGGGTAGCCGGCGCATCTCATATCGTTACCAGAAGCGAAAACTGTTCGGATGTCTTGGTGGTCATACAGGTCGGAGACACTGCAGTAATAGTAGGTAAGATGCTTATGAATTATATTGCAATAACATTAGTTGGGTACACGCCCCTCGCGGTACATACGCACAAGAAGTGATCATTATCCCCATGTGAAATCTCCGCGTGACCACGTTTTCCTTCGACAAGACATTGTCCACCTCATGAGAGCGCCAAGGGCGCCCGAAAAAAAACACAATTTCAAAGTGGCAAATGTACAGCACAAACAAACACACGTGAACGCCTATAGGTGACTGCACCGCTGCAACCGAGTCCAAACGTATTATTAAACTCAATGAAATGTTATCATGGAAAGGTTTAATAATCAGTGGCTATTTGTATTTTTTTATGTGTCGGTGGCACGTTCTAATGGAATCGTCAGGCGTGATGGTCAACTGCAGTTCATGGCCTCTCCACTGGGCAAAATTAATTAACTAAATACTCTTCTCCTTAAGAATTGATATTCAACATAGACGCCGTTCTGGTAGTACAGTAAGCTATGATTAAAATTTAAAAATAATTACAAGCGGCTAAACGTGTCGGTCGAAACTTTAACGTCACAAGTTAAACACATTTGAAAATCAATTTGTTTCATCAACAGAACGATAAAATTGCAACCATTTCATTTTTCAATAAGCCAACACGCTTAGTGCCTGTGGTCAATCAGATATTGCACTTTAAGTACGCGTTTTTCTTTTTCCATGTCACGCCGTCGTGTGATGTACCAACTAATTTGACGGGCAACGCTTTCTCAACTGCGCAAGGCCGCTAGTTTTCGTAATTAAACAACCGTTTTATGAGCTAATTTTGTTTATTTTTTCTCCACCGGACCGGCTTCGTTATCTCGTGACAGACGTATCTCGCCGCCGCCGCTTTTGGTTATTGTCGACGGGGCTCTGGCAGCTTGACGCGGACTAAAAATCACACTTTCTAATCGGTGTGCTCGTGCAATGTCTACACACCGTCGGGAATTGCTAAACGATTATAACAACAATATTTACAACCTAAACTTTCACGTTCATAGAGATTATTTGGCTATATATTATTCTATCTCTGGCTTCTCTCGAGAATCGATAAAAGAAATTCATGTGAAAATCGATTAGGCTGAGTCGTTAAATTTGTCTCGAACTGCGACATTACACCTATGACGCAATACTACCACCGCACGGTATTAAAGAAGAGCGTATAATGAAGAGGAGGCGATTCAATGCAGTAAACTGATCAAGTCTCTTGGCTATGGTCGTTTACGTAAACATTTCGAACGACTTCGGTACGAGTGCATATTGTTTTTTAAGTAGGTACGAACATTAAATGAACGGGTTCAGTAGTTTGGCCAGTGTTTATCGTGATTTTTTACCTATACGTCTCGACGGTAGCAAATAACATCGGTTAACGTTTTTAAAAGATACGTTTTTTTAATAAATAAGTGATTTTTCTGATGATTTATCATTCATTTGATAGCTACAATTGGTTTCCTGTGTTTTATTTTTTGTTAAATTAAGTAAATAGACATTTATCGACTAGTGTTGAAATTTGTTGACCACAGCGGTTCGTTCGGTAAATCTCTTTGATAGTAATATACTTGTTGATTTTGGACTCGATGGTCGTAAATTTATTGATCAGAAATTTAAACTTTATTCCATTAATCGTTATCGTAATGTGAAAAATATTTCTATCGAATTATACACACTCGTCCAAAACCAGACAGATTTAATTAACACACAGAGTAAAATTCACTTTGAAAATCCTTTCGTTTCGCGTGTCAAAACACAACGAGTTTTCTATAAAAAAAAAATGTACCCACCACCCCAACAAAGCCACGTGACTACCGCCTTAAATATCCGTTTGATTGCGACTCCGCGGCAGTTCTAATTATACAAAGACTCCGCTCGTATGTGTGTAGTTTATGTTGACAGCTGGTTGTTATTATTATATTCATCTACCATATCATATGTGTGGCGTTAATCCCTTTTACCCATTCCGGTGCAAACGTATTAACAAGTTTCTCGTTCAAGTCTAAACGCGGACACCGAGATGTTTTTATTATGACTCTGAGCTATGATAATGGAACTGTTAAAGTCAATACCGAAACGGTCAAGTGCCCTGGACGTTTTATACACTTATAATATTACGAAACAAATATTACTATGTTTTTCTCGTCAACAAGTTGAAGATGATAGATATACCTTGGAGATTTTTATTTTTTATGGACTAGGCTACTCTATAATTATTACGAGTAAAAATGTTCACAGATGCGCCACAAACAAGGTAATTATTTAACTACTGGCAAAACGAATTCCCAAAACGAATAAAAGAAAAAAACAATAGTAACGCGTTTCTCACCTATAATTGAGGAATTATTAGCCGACACGGGCGGCGAGTGCGTCCGAGTGTACCTGCGTCTTACACGAGCCTCGATATAAACACACATAGTTCTTATAGGTATTTTTTCGATCCCGTCGTGGGTTCTGTCTCGGCGAGAGGATCTCAATAAAGCGAAAACCCTTAAGCCGAAAACGAGTGATGAATGTTAAGCACCACTGAAGATCCGCCTCCGCTCAACAACAGCCGCCGTCGGAAAGTTAATAATGACAGCGCAGGTAATTGAAATAATAATGAAATAGTTTGTATTTAAATTTGAATTTTCGGAAACTCGTTCCGTTCAAGCGGCTCCTCAAATGTCACATCCGTGCATTATCTCTGTACTTGTTTGCGAGCATCCTCGTAAATTACACGAAATCAAAATGCGCATACACGATGCGCACCTATTAAATCGAGTCAAACGAATAAATAACCGCATTTGAAACGTACAACGTCTACGCGACCGGAGAAAAAAAAATGGAAGCATCCCGAATGACTAGTTAACCACGATTCTTGTACGATTGCATGTTTTCCATAGAAAAAAAAAAATTAAATATATCGTTGAAAAACAATGACCTCCGCCGAATATGACGTACCAGTCAACGCAACTCATTATACACGTGAAAATAGACGACCATTATGAAATTAACTGGACCTACGCGATTTGATTTTATCTTACGAGTGTAACGCGATACTCACAATCAATTACAACGTGGTTACATTTTGGCAACAGGATCGAGTTGGTTAATTATCAATTCAAAAACATAATTACCTACACGCAGTCGGTCGTTTTTGGTGAACACGAGTGGTGTCCGATCGAGATCTCCAAAACGACCGCTGTCGTTACCGTGTTATTATCGCGTACAGGTGTGTTCCGGACTGTATTTTGGGACCCACTGGAGCAAGCCACAATCACTACAATATTATAACCCGACCGATACACAGCCACCGGCGTGCAGAGCACCGTGGCCCCGAACGCATCATTAAGTTCACATTTATTTAACGACGGCAGAGAGCCCCTTCGTATGCGCACACCGCTGGCCATTTTTTTTTTTTTTTTTTTTTTTTTACTGACAGAGTGGGCGACCGGCATTCGAACCGAATTCCTTTACGACCATTAGTGTTAAAATTGGAGGCAATCATACCGCCGTTGTTGTCGAGAGAAATTTTTTACCTTTTCCCCGTTGTTACCGTCGTTATTACTGTTATTATTATACGAGTAGAATAATGTTGTATCGATTGCGAGATCGAAAGAAACGAAAAAACCATTGAAAAATAAACCGACTTGTTGGTTTCAGACGAATGGTAGTGAACGCGTACGGTTTGTTTATTATAAGCCCAACTGTCTAAGAAGCGCACGCACGATGTCAGGTGCTGGCTGTCTTGATTAAAATAATAAAAAAACAAATTATATACACATCGCATAATACACGGAAACGCACACACACGCG